AGTTCTGTTTGCCACTGAGCACAACCCCAGCTCCAGGGAGAGAAAACTCATCACTCTTCACACATGGGCATGTGCTCTCCAGCAACAGTAAATTAGGCCAAGTGCTCCAGGCCTCTCTATTAATCTCTGAGAGAAGAGGAAAGACTACCTGAGCTCCTCACGGTTCATTAAGATGCTACAGCAGGAAACAAGCCAAACACCAGGGAACAGAGTACATCTACCAGGCATTACGCAGAGGTGACATTGGTGTGATTCAGGGAAGCAGCTGCTAAAGCCAGGAACACAGAAAAAGGCAACCTCAGAAACTTCCCTTGAAACAGAATCAGTGACTTTTATCAATTAAAGTTTCCTGACTTGAAAGTAGTTGAAACTTTTTTGTTCCAATGGTTAGGTAGTGAGAAAAAAGCTCTTTTTCAGCCAAAGGGAAACGTCCATGTGAAAATAAACTCTACTTTGCCTGAATTTGTGGAGATATTCTCAAGAAAAACAGACACCCCCCTGTAGCCCAGGCTAGAAAAATTAAATAAAGTTTGGCATTTTGGCAGGTTTTAGCCAACATTTTAGAAAAAAGAGAAAGAAAAAAATAAGAGAGAAAAAAGAAATAAACTATTTTCAGACCATCTCTTGACTTTCCAACTTTCCTGCAGAAGCAAGCTGTATGATACAATTGCACATACGTATATTGGTTGAGGACTGACATTGTACCACATCCGCCCACTCTCCATTGTTCATGGTGGGTTCTTGTAAAAAATGCGGTATTGCAAACATGCAGTATAACAAACCAGAAATCACTATCTGAATACAGAACCATTTTGCCCGCTGTATGCCACCGACTGCAATAAGGAAGAACTCTTCCCAAGAACAAAGCAGGCTGGGAAAACTCTGCAACCTGTGTAAAATAAAGAGTCAGGAGGGAGAGGTCAGGAATTCCAATGAAAGAAAAATGACAGCTATAATGGAGCTGAGAGCATGAATCTGGAACCCGAGTTCAAAAGGAATTCTGCAGCGATGAAAGAACCCACCAAGAAAATGGAATGTTTCCTGTCCCTTTTCCTGGGACAGCCTTTTCTAAAGCAGTAGTACCAAAGACATATGGGGCCAATCACAGCAGCTTTGCTGAAATACTGCCTTACTGCAAACCACAGTGTGAACAGCAGTCAAGAATAGAGGGCAAAGGGCTGGAGAGGAAGCAGACAGGAGAACGGTATTCTCTTGCGATAGCAAGTACTTTAGCACAATCCATTTACTTTCTTCTTTTTCTGTGAACAATTCTGGCGCCCAGCTACTGATACCTATCAGAGCTCTCATTTCTCCTTCTGTGTCCTGGGAGATCAATGCTTAGGACAGAATTAAATTAGATTCATCCCACATTAATTAAGTTCAGGCACCCAATTCAGGATGGGTTAAGGACACCTTTTAAAGCCAACACTCACATGCACACAAATGCACACAACTTTCATAGCCAGTGAACAGAGGAACATATTTTTATGGGAAATGCAGCTGTCCTAGTTTCACAGCAGACATGAAACTGCATTTGTGTGTTCAGTGATCTCAAGGAAATTATCTATGGTGGGACAGAGAAACAAACTTTAAAAATACTCCTCTTTGTGATACTCGGCACTTTGGAAGAGCCCGTCTGTGGAATCACATGCTGGCAGGTGTTCCTTCTGCACATCTGAATTTTCAAAAGGCACTGCTGTAGCCCACTGCCACTGTTCAGAGATGTACCAGCTTAGAGCATGCAGCATGACTGCTTCACCAACATCACTGTGCAGACAGTTGCGTTGCCTGCTTGCCTACAGCCCTGAGCCTCAGACGGATGCTTAACTCATGCTGTGGGCATTGCCACAAGGGGACTGCTGGCTTCACGTTAGGCTCACGCGCAAATACAGCCCTGGGAATCCATGTCTGTACACAGGACCTAGCAGACCATCTAAAGAAGGGCAGACTGTAGGCATGAACTTTTTTTGTAATTTTTATTTGAACACAGTATTCTGACAGAATGCAAAGTCAAAATCCTCAGTTAGTATCAGTATTTACACCAGTGAGAATGGGAATAAAGGTGGAATCGATGTTTCACTTGGTAAAAAGTTTTTTTGTTTTTTAACAAGATAGAAGGCCCCCAAAAGTAGGGAATGCTGGGTAAGGATGTCAATGGAGGGTCTGAGAACAACTATCAAAACAGCCTAGTGTGAAAATCTGGGGTCTGAAGGCTCCATAGAAAAGTGTGAAAATAAAACTCCACTCTAAAAGCTGAACAACTGGATGCACTATTATCGTATCATCTTTACGTATGGCGCAGCATGAAATGTAATCACTCCACAACTAGAAGCTGATCAATCTGCATTGCCATATAGATATATATGTATGGTATGGATACATATATAAACATATACAGCGTAAACGGCATCAGGTTGGTCCCTCTTCAAAGGTTTAAATAAAAGCAATGAAGCCTAAGCTATCTTGGAAATGGGGTACTTCTAAATTAAAACAAATTACTTTTCATTAAGGGCAAGTAAAAAACCACTTTCCAGAATTAACCTACAAGTACTGGGAAGTGTCATGATGGCATTAAAAAGGAGTTGGATGGACAGTCCCAGTGCTCAGGCAATCACAGGGTTCACTTCTGCCTTGGAATGGTGCTCATTCCATTGATCTCAACACAAACCCACTGCAGTCAGTCATTCTAATGATGCAGCTGGGTGTTGGATAGGGCTTTGAGCTGGTTACCTTTTATGATAGAAATGCCAATCCAGGTGATAGTTACCACAATTTTCACCCAACAGGTGCTGACCAGTGTCACTGGACATGTTTCTGGTCATTAGCATTATGCAGCATTTGTTTCCTATCAGCTGCTCAGCTCTCAGTGGGTTATAACTTAGGAGGTATAACACACAAATGACAAAAGCAGTCAAAAACATCGCAGAAATGAGAAACAAATAGTTGTGGTCATCCACGGGAATGGAGGTACCCACTGCCTACCCACTAGTCCTCTGCTGCCCCAGGGACTCTCCCCAACCGTAGACAGACCTTTTTGTGCTGCATTTTATGGACTGATTTCTTAGAAAAAAAATCCTAGGGACCATGGGCCAAACTTCCCTATGGTTATACCAACACTGCTGTGATGGGTCATGCAAGGTCCGGATTTGACACAAGGCTTTGAAGTGAGGACACATTCTGCCCTGATATCCTGGCTCGGGATGGGTATTGCATGAGTGTCTATGCCTGCGTATCCAGTCATCCTCCATTTGCATCCCAGGAGCTAAGGAAAAAATGCAAAAAACCCCACACTTAGCAAATGACAAGACTATTATTTTTCACAGTTTGAAATTATGTGATGCTACTGTAAAAGACTGCATACTTAGAAGAATACACCGATAAAAGTGGCTCAATTTACCTGAGCCAAACTGCAGTCTACCCACGCCCCATCATCCTTCTGTTCATCACCTTAGCGCAATGGAATGCCATAGTCAGCTCAGTTTGACTTTTCATTTAAAGGCTTCTGTTCTTTGTAAAAGTTGTTCTCTTTTTTTTTTCCTGAATATTCTTTTTTCAAATCTGAACTATCGCTACACCTTCCACATCCAAACTATGTTGAAGCTTTTATTATTTCAATACTATGACAAAAAACACATTTCACACTAAAATAGTCACGCACCCACAGTGCACAAGCTTGCAGATCTAAAGTAGAATAAAAAATAAACCAAAAGAAAAAAAAAAAACAGGAAAAAAAACCCCCAAACCCCAACAGAAGGAACATCTCTATACAATGGGCTGGTCTTCCCCTATATACCTCTGCCTTCCTCCTGCTCAAGCCTCCTTTCTTTTCACCCCCAAAATCTCAGTGTTACTCCATGACTCACAATGATAAATGTCATTGATAAGCTCCCCCTCTCCATAACGATAATACATGTACTACATCAGCCCCCTTTTCTAACTGTTGACAACACTATACCAAGACAAGTGAAATCACTGGGAATCTTGGCATTGATTTCCAAGCACTTGCTCTTGATTTCATGGTTTTGATTCTGCAGAGCATAGGTGGATAACTCAATACATGATAGAATAGAATAGTTCAGTTGGAAGGGACCTACAACGATCATCTAGTCCAACTGCTGATGGAGCTAGCTTTGCAGGATGCGTCTTGCATGCTGCCAAGCACCCTTGTGCAAAAAGTCTTTGCTTTTAAATTACCTTTCTAGGGTCAAATGAAATGGTATTTACTGGCATACTAAGGAGGACTTGATGTAGTCAAACATCTGAGATGAGACCAGACCAGCCCTAACTGTACAATCTCCCTTCTGCTTCTCAAAGCTCCGGGAAGGTTCTATGAAGGAAAGGGGAGAATGTCCTAAAAAAGCAGAGATGATATTTCTCTTATGCAGTCAGGCCCAGGTCCAGCAAGGGACTTAAACTCTTACTAAATTTAAGTATAGAAGGACTCTCACCAGCAACTCTTTCATCCCAAGTTAAGTGTGTGTTTATGCGAATTGCTGGATAAAGACCTTGACTGGTGAAAATTGGTTTGAATACCCCCACCCACCCAAAAAAACCCAAACCAAACCCCAGCATTACTTTTCTTCTTACTCCAGTAAGAAATAATAATAATAATAATAATAACAACAACAACAACAATAATTAAGAAAAGATAAAGGGGAAACAACTACTGTAAACATCCATGTTTTAAAATGTCTCCCTTTGCAAAGCAAGCATGCTGCTAACCTAGTATCTATAGACTGTATTTACTTAAAAAAAAAAAAAAAAGGCAGCTATTTTACACATACATTTAAACACAACAAAAGTTAAAAAAAATATTTGTCAATTGTAAAACTGGAAAGAACAAAAGTTGGCAAAAATTAACATAAAATTTAAAGAAATGTAGAGTCTGAATACTGCAAATTGAAATATATCCCCGAAGCTGCAATTTTGGCATTCTTCCTAAAAAAAGATAATAATAAACCCCAAATAAATGTCTAACGTGGAAAACAGAATTCAGTCACAAAGAGCTCAAGACACTTTGCATACTGAACAAATACAAGGTGAACAGAAATTATAACTTATTTATGAGGCTTTACATATTTCAAACTCGACTGAAAAGTATAAAAATAAATTGTGGACTTTGTTCATTAAGTACCAGCTGTACCAAGTAGTACAGTGGTTATATCCGCTATACTAACGAAGGAAAGAACAGGGTCTTTTTTTTTTTTTTTTTTTTTTTTTTTTTAGGACTAGTTGATTCTGAGCTTCCCAACCATGTTGCAAATGGTATTTGCAATTTTGCTTATTTGAATATACACAGGGTCAGTTAAGCCCTGATTTGGTTACGGGTTTAACCCTGTTTTTAAAATGTATTACTTTTTAAAAGCAAGTGCACAACAAATAGAACCTTTCTAGAAATCTTAAAAAAAAAAAAAAGAAAAGAAAAAGAGAAATTTCCCCCCTCCCCCTATTTATGCATTTTCTGTTTTGTTTGTTTTTCTTAAAAAAAGGCAACAGACACTAGAGGAATGAGATGTGTGTTGTGTTTTGTGTTTTAAATGCTTGGGTGAAGTTGTTCTGTCATTTGCTTTCATCTGTCGCTGATCATGCTTTGCTCTCATTTTCATTTGTTTGTGTGGCTTCATTGGGGACCGTCTTGACTTCTGCTGGAGGTGTCTTAGTTTCCGTTGCTTGCACTTCAGATTTGTCTTCTACTGGGATTTTCCTGAAGAAGAATCACCAAAATGGCACAGTTTAGAAGCAGAGAAATATAGACTGTCTATTGCTGAATTAATGATAAGGAAAGAATGTTTCTGGAAACAAGCAAATACATTGCCTTGCTAGAGTAAAATGAGCATTTCCAGATGCAGAATTAAGTAAAACCAAACTCACCCCCCACCCCAGTTTCATTTAGCTCTAGTGAAATCTTTTCTGATTTTCCTCCTGCCCTGAGTTACCATACTAGTAGGATGAGGTCTCAGGCGGCAGCAGAGGCATAAGGCATGTTGTGGTGTGCAAAAAGGAGCAAAAGGGAAAACTCACACAGTTGCAAAGGAATTTGATTTTACCGTCACTCATTTACATCACCCAAATGTCCTATTAAAAGAGACTGCCATTTTAGCAGAAAATCTTTTTCCCTGCAGGAAGTCAGTCCCAGAACTTCCCAGTATGTTGCAGGAAGGGAAACACAAAAGTGAATTTTGTCAAACACGTTTTCACAAGTGTAAAGGAGGTCAAGATCTTCACAGGCTAACGCTTAGATTCATCAGCCTGTGTTTTGGCACTTTAACGAAGAATCAGAATTCTGTTTGTCCAACACTCTCCTCATAGCCATGAAAAGTGCCACACAAGGCGCATCTGGTGGCCTCCCTGAAGCAGTGCCTGTTCCAGCCCATTACCCACAAAGTTAGTTCGAGATAACTGCAATCTTGATTCACCCTGACAAGCAGGTGAGATGAATCTAAGCCTATGGTTGCGATACTGGTTTGCACCACAGGAAGCAGATGAGCAGCACAGGTAGAAGAAGGTGGCTGGATTGGCAGAAAGAACATAGCTCTGCATTCCACCATACCCAGAATTCACTTACATGACACCGACCAAGCTGCATTAATTCAGCTGAAATGTTTCTGTACTATGGGCAAACCATTTCCTACCTCCTTTCAGCTCAGTACCAGATCACAATTCTCTATTCTGTTTGTCACTCCATAGCACCCAGCATGACAGGGCAGTGGCTTTAGGTGCAGTGAACTGAAGTGAGCATGGATTTCTCTGCTTAAGACTGGCAGAGCTGCACCCATCAAGGCTGCCTGCTTCCCTCCAACCCTAGTGCATCTGCTGTGCCACCCAGGCTTTCCAGGAAGGGCCAGATGCTCCATAGCTGTGTGGGGCACAAGGCAATGCTGTGGAACAGTCACATGGCAGGAATGTCTCCTGACTTAGGGGAGGATGGGAGCACAGCTGCGAGGTAGGGAGACCAGAGCCATAAGACGTAAAGGCACCTGAATAATACAGTAAAACAGCGTAGGTTTTCACTCAGATCTGGAAAAGAGCCTGGTTTTTGGTCCTAGAGTGTCTGACTGACTCCTCTTTTGTGAGTGCTAATACACATTGCAATCGCAGTGTCAAAGCCAATGATCAAGGCTGATGCTTTATTTTGGATTAAATACAAAGCTTCCAGAATGAGGTAATTTTCCTGGAGACCCAAGGATGGAAAAAATTCGAACCTAAGCTGTGACTTAGGGTATGTCTCCAGTGTGGTTGCTAAAGCATAGCCTAGATTTATCTGAGTGAGCTGTAAACCCAGCTCTAGAACAGCTAGTTAGATTCTTGGCAGCAATCTAGCTGACAGTGCAGAGCCCAGTGTCCTCAATACACTTTCCTTTGCAAAAGCTGAAGAAGCAGCGTGAACTCAGGCTTTTGGTTTTGGGAGCTGCTCCCACAACAAATCTGAGCTGCTTTTTCAGGATTGTTTCTTGTGATAAAGCACAGGCTCTGCTCAGGCAGGAAAGACAAGATACTCCTTCTATTTCATCCTGCCTCTATCAACACATGGTGTCCAAATAGGAAGCCAGAAGGAACAGGGACCTTAGGTACTTGTCCCCTGAAGGGTGGCTTATCCATTAGCAATCAGCATTTTCCAGGCTTCTGTGCTCATGGCTCTGTCAGCCACTGCCATCCAAAACGACACAGCAAGACTGTTCTTGTCCAACATCTGCACAAGTGATAGGGGCCCTCCCCCCAGTTACCCAGGTGAGGACTGTTTTCAGTCTCCAGTTACAGCATCTCCTGCCAAGCACAAGGTGCAGACTCGTCTCAGTTGGGGAAAGTGGATCCTGTCCAGATGGCATAAGGCTCCAAAAGACCCCTAGGGTTGTCCTGCCTAGGGGCTTGCTGATGCTGAGTAAATCAGCTGGGTAAAGAGGAGACCTGATACAGTGGATGAAGACTCTAATATACCATGACAACACACTGCCAAGTTATCCTGACCCAACTGTGCTGTGACTGCTCCCTCTCTCTCAAACAAGATCATATTACCTTATCCTTTTGCCAGTTTAGGGACAAATCCAGAGGCACCATGCTTTCACAGTTTCACATGGCACTAGTTTCTGCCCTGCCTGATACTGAAATAAGTTCTGAAGGGCTCCACTGATCTGTTAGGACATTGAATTTGGGTGGCTGTGCTCAATGAACTGCAGGAACTTGGCACCTCTGAGGACAGCACTTCCTTTGCACCGAACAGAACTGTTTCTGATCTCTTTCATAAAAGAATAACCTACGACAGACAGAGTTGCATAAAAGACTGACGAATAATACATTTATGGTAAATTCCTGGGTTTGTCTTTTCTCTGCTTCCCTGGCACAGCCTATTCCTGCTTTCCTGCTGGACCTTGAAAGCCAAGCCCTGTTTAGTTGGTTCACAGGTGAGTTAGTTTGCTAAGGAAACAATGAGATTAGTTAAGAGAACAGCCAGCAAGAACACAGCACAAGCACCAGTGCACAAGAGACATAGCACACAATCAACAGAAGATTAAAGGCAGCCATACTCGGTCTTTGAAGGTGCAGCAGGTACAGAGCTGTCTGCAGTGGAAGAAGCAAGCTCATGAGCTTGCCCACTAGTCACACTGGCAGGAGTAGTAGTGCCAAGAGCTGCAAAAACATCCTTTGCAAGATCAATGTCTGGTGTCTTGAAGGTCCCTTCGTCCATTTTAAAGTCCTCATTCTGGGAGGGGTTTGTGGTGCTGCCTGAAGCAGCCTCGCTCTTCAGATTGCTTGGGTTCTTGGTTGTCTCTGTTGGGCTCTTCACTGTACTGGACTGCACAATTTCCTTTTCAGGGCTCTTGGTGCTTGAGACCTCCTGCTTGGGCTCGGATGGAGCTGGAGGGCTAGTAAGGTTTGCAGGGCTTGCGGCAGCTGGCTTGTTACCAGCTGCCACTTTGGAGGTCTCAGCTACGTTAGCAACAGCACTGGGGCTGAGCACTGCACCTTGGTTGGACAGGACACTTGAAGACAAATTATTAGTAGCTGGAGTAGAGCTTGGGGTATCGCTGAGATCAACAAGGGGGGCCACTTTGGGGGTGGAGGAGGGTGGTGGTGAAGAGACTGAGGTGGCTGCCCCTTTGGCTGGAGTAGCCTGGCCAGTCGACATGGAGTTTGACTCAGGAATGGTTGTGGCTGGCAGGGCAATACTGGAGGTCAGCGTAGTGGTCTCGCTGGTGGGGCTGTTCTGAGCAGTGGCAAAGGTTTCAGTGATAGTATCAGAGTTAGTGGTGCCCGTAGTTACAGAAGGCAGCATGTCCTCAACAGCAGCTGCGGTATCGGCGGGGTGCCTGTGAAGAGGACAGGAGTAGAAGAGAAATAGAGACAATGAAGCCCACAAATGACAGCAGGGGAAAGGGGAGCAGGGCGTAAGAGTGAGAAGGCAAGTGGGTGGTGCAGCAGCAGCATGGCACGTGGTTAAAACACACACAGAACATGGAGAGGTACTTGGAGAAGCAGAAACCTTTCAGAGGTCAAATGTGCAAAGGGTAGCAAGGGCTGGCTGGGACAACTGAAGAGTAGCTAGGAAGAGAAAAAGAGCAAAGAGGACACGACCTTCAGGAATGGCTTGTTCACACAGATTTTGGTTCAAGTCTTAGCCAAATGTAACCCCGTCAACTTGCAGAGACTCTTCTGTTTTAGCCTAACTTTTCTCCCAGCCTCTTCCACCTAACCTCACAAGGAAGTTTTCCACCAATTTCCTGAGCTTGCAGCCCTTTGCCACCTGTCACCATGCAACAAGGTCCCAATGTAGGTCCCCTGAATCCAGTCCTTCATCTTGGCCCTGTCCTTTTGCCTGCAAGTCTAAGGCCTTCATCAAACCACACAGAATATAATTCTTTTTCTCATACACACATGTAATGCATATATATGTACATACACGTACATATGTGCAGCTTTGAGGTGATGTTTTCAGCCCTTTTGACCAGATTCCAGCCTGTAGTGTTAGCTGGAATGAGGTTTGCTTTAGGACAATGTCTGACAGTGTATCTACGCTTTAGTAGCCATGATGTAGCACTGGTTGCCTTAACAAGTTCACGGATGTGAGGCTGGAAAAAAAACCAGTTTATTCCATGAGAAGCCAGTATGCCTGAGAATACCATATCAGGCTTATTAACAAAGAGAAAACCTTCATAGAGGAGGATAATTGAGTTAAAATTCTGGTAAGACTAGCTAAGAAAATGAGGACAATATAAATCCCAGCTATTCCTCACTGCTGCGCATCCACGTTTCAGTGCTGCTTGTGGACATAGCCTCCTTTCTCCTCTCACCTCACAGAGACCTCCAGCAGAGCCATTTTACCACTGGGTCCCACTGCTAACCTAATCAAAGGAGGTGAGCAGTATGCAGGTGGAAGAGCCTGCCACCTCACCACTGTGATGACTCTGCTGAAGGAAAGGAACGCAACTTGTGCCATCAGTTCCAAACCCGACCCAAATATTAACAAGCATTTCAGCAGCTTCCTAAAGCGAATTCCTCCCATTACTACTCCAGAAGCTATGGAGAAGTACTCAGAGGACACTAGAACTGCAACAGTCTAGGAAAGAGCTTAATGTAGACAGCGGGCAATACTTAAACCTTACCAATCCCAGCTAATGTGGATTCACAGACTCAGGCCCCAAACAAGTTCTCTGATACAAACAAAGCTTGTAGGTAGCTCTCAGCCCTCTCACAGAATAATCAGACTTGCCATGCCTCCCCAACACCCAGAGTGTAACTACTCTGTTACTATCAGTAGAGAGGACTGCTTTCACCATGGGGCGTTCAAGCACTCATCCAGCAGAGCTCAAGCAGGAGTCAGTGCTAGGTGGGGGCTGCTTTTGCTCTGGATCCTTTGCAGTGAACCTGGACAGGTACCTGATCTACACACCGGATGGAACCTGGCAGAGACAGGCCTTTCAAGAAAGATTGCTTTACTACCCTTTTCCCTTCCAGTGCTGGAAATAGGAGTCACTGAATGTTGAGGAAGAGAGGAGGCATTTCCTCACTGGTATATCACAAAGGGAATGTGACGATTTTACCTTTTTTCCTCTCTTCCTGCCCTAAGTCATGGGCATGAGAGATCAGGGATTAAGGCAACTGAGGCCAACGTGTTGACCCTGTGCTAAGATTGATTAACGCCAACATACTCTGGCTCCGTCAGTGGGGTGGTCTCATTGGGCTCTGTGTGTTTTCCCCCATCATGGTTGGGGGTCCGCTCCTCTTCAGTCCGCACCTCCACAATAGGCTCCTTGGACTCATCTTTCCTGTAACAAAGGAATTGCATAGAGATTAGTTCCCATTCACACTAGATATCCTCCTGCAAAGACATGCTGCAAGTATCAATAGTGAATGACAGAAACAAACTAGCCTAAACAGCAGATTACTTATTTTTGTCACTTCCCCTTCCAGTTATTACCTACAGCATGGAAGACCACTGTGATGTCCAGCATTTGGGCCAGCCATTTGACAGCTACTAACAGGAATAGGACAAAAACAGAGAAACGGCTGAAGAAAGCCCTTCCTGGAAATATAAAGCAGAATGAGTGTGGCCCCAGATCTTTTCAGGACCTTCCCATCAGTGTTGAGGAACCCAGAACGCCCTAAAACAGTTTCTTTTCCAGAGTTGCTGAGGGGACACACTAATCCAACAGAAGGAGCAATGTAAGTGATGACAGTACTTACGAGAAGGCAGCTTTGCCCTCCTCCATGTCTTTGCCCTTGGCTCCTGGGCCAGATTTGCCGCATAAGTTGACAGCAATGCACATCAGCAGGCCACACTTGTTCAGGAAGTAGCAGGTGACATCCACAGCCACCAGGAGCAGCACAAAGATAACAATGAGAATGCCTACGATGGCAGCAGTCCCAAGGCCTGATGTAGGGCTAGTGCTGGCTTTAGGGACCAAAAAGAGAAGAAAAGAAGGCATTGTAGTTAAGAAGTGAGTTGGGGCTAATTATAGCTCAAATTTGGCTATGCTTAGGTTGCAAGCATGGGAAACTTAGAGAAAGTACACCCTCTCTCTAGCAGCCTTGTGTTATAACCAGTACTTTATCCTAAAAACCATGCAGGACGATCTACCTGAAAAGACAGATTCACTTGGACTTAATGGGGCTTTTCCCATCTCTGTTGGGCTAAGGCCTGGAAAGCAGACTACAGAAACCTCTTCTACTGTGGCATATACCCAGCTGGAACTCTTAAGGGCTCCCGTTTCCCTCTACCACTTCCTCAAGATGAAGGCTGTGTCTAGGGTCCAGAGTTACTTTGGCACTGCCAGCCAGGCACAAGGACAAGTGTAAGTGAAGCTAGACTCTGTAATATGACTTGTGCTGGTGGGACACAGAATACTGGGTGATATCTGTGGGGCCTCAGCGTTGATTAGCCCCTTACGTGGTGAAAACAAAAGGAGGAATTAAAACCCTTCCTGTCACTCAGGTAAGACCCAGCTATCCAGAACTGGAAAGCGATAAGTTTTTCATGTCTTATCTAGAGATAGATGAGCTCATCAGTGAATGCTCTAGAAGTGTTTTGGTTTAGGTACAGACAACAATCCAAGTAGCCTTCTGAGGAAGCAATAGTAATGATAAGCAGACTGTCACTCTGTTGACATTGTCCTGGTCACAGCAACTGCCTGCTCCACCTCACCCAATCTCCGCCATGTTTCCCCAGCTATAGAATAGAAAAAAATACCTTGCCTTTTCCAGTAGACAAAGGACAGCAGGTGAGAGGTGGTGATGGAGGCCTAGAAAATCCATGGGGTTGCCCATATTGTACTAAGTTCAGAGCAAGTGCCTTTAATTTTCTAGCTGTGTGTAAAATGCTGAGTACTTTCTCAGAAACAGGGAGTGGATAAACACATCGGTTAATCCTGTCAAAGCCTTTGGTCATCACAAAACCAACAGGCACAGGCTTGAGTGTTGCCAGCTGCAGCTTCCCAGCCTCTTACTATCATACCCCAAACACAAACTACTTTTTGTTCTCCATGTTTTATTCAGAATAATTCTTCCCAAGCTGCTGATCTGCAGGCAGAGCATTTGGCTGTTGGCTCATACAGTTTAGCACCTATTTAGATGTACCAAACTACTAAAAACCTGCTTGCCAGTCTCAACCATCACATAATCTGCCTTTCACTATGGGACTGTGCACTCAGCAAAGGCCTGTACATGTGACAGAGCTGCTTACTTAAGTTTACTGAGACAGCAGGAGCATGTTTGTCATTGTCCATAGGAGCATTTTGGTTTTTTTTCTTTCAGTTCAGATGTGATTCTATTCATTTCTACTGCATTTTTTACTGCTGGATGTCGCAACCCCCAAACACTTAGAATCTTTTCTTTGCAGAAAAGCCCAGCAAAGCACCTCTTTCCCCTCAGCCTGATCTATGTTGACTTTGACAGGTGGAGAGATCATTTCCACAGACAGCGAGCCATACCCTCTGCCATACATTTTATTACTTCAAAATAGGAGGTAGAACATCCTTAGCAAGAGGCAGATAGGTGTTGTTTCATTTTGTGACCCTGATATGTATTAAGGAATCCAGACTCCAACAGGAAAGTTTCTTTCTGCATTTGACTGTATCTAAAAGTCACTCTGAGGCACCTGACTGACACTTACATCCCAAGTCCATTAAATGCTCAGCAGAACGTTTGTGCCACAGACCAAATCCCTGCCAACACCTTGCAGCAAGCTGCATAATTAAATTAATCATTCTCCGATGCATGCAGGGAGCAAGGAGGTCATGTATTTTCCCTCTTCTAACGTATTCAGAATTTTTGCATGGATTATTCTGTAATTAACATATTCCTGTTCACACCAGCTCCTGAAGAAAAAGCTAAAGATGTGTCAAACTTTTCTTCTCATCTACATCATCTTTCTGGGAATTAGCTCCTTAGCAGGCTAGTAAAGGTGCACTAAGGAAAGCATCACAGACAGTGAATTAAATAAAATAGTTCCTTGTTGTGCCTCCAAAATATACCTCATCTCAGTCACCAGACCTGGAGTGAGACAAAATATTTTGTTCTGGGACAGATGGAATTTTCTCATGTGCTAGAAGACATCTTCCGGAAAATTCCATTCAAATTAGAGTCCTACTCTTTGCTTCCTCTCTCCTCCAACTTTTACAAGACCTGTCAGTATCAATAGCCTTACACATTGCCCACACCTTGTCTGTGAACCACTGCACATGACTCATGTGAACTGCAAGAACTGCATAAACTGCAAACTTGTTAGGACAATCACAGCCTCTGCCCCTAGGGCACAGCCAAAGCTTCTGGATCCTCAGCAGGCATTGCAGCAGTGGCTGTTTTCAAGCCCCTTAGTGTTTACACATGGTACTGGACTTGGGGAAGCTGCTTTACATGAATAGTAAGGAAGGAACTAATTTCTTCCCCGTGCAGGAGTCAGTTTGCTGTGCCATTGGAGATCAAAAGGTTCTGGCATTCCCACAGGATCCTGGGCCAGCCTGTTACTGTTTCACTTCTGGCAATATCAAGGCACATGCATAAATAGGGATACAAGGAGCTGGAAATGAAAGAATACCTCTGTCTTTGGCATCGGTATGACTAACGTGGGAAAGCTGTTCAGAAAAGATGCTGAGGAAGAAGACAATTCAGGGAAATATCACAACTGTGGTTGAAGAATTAAACAAAAATTACTTGGGAAACTCAGTCAATATAACTTCAAAAAAGAAATGCGCAGGGATGAATTAGGTCATTGTAGTCCTATCTGCAGCAGAATAGTGCATGCAATAAAGGCACTTTATTTGAGCAAAGATACAAGATTCAAAAGCTGGAAACAGAAGGTGAATGAGCTTAGGCTAGGAATAACGTACGATATTTTAACAGAAATCCCCAAATGAGAGCAGAATGTCATATCTTTCTCCACCCGACTTGGTTGACTAGAAATCTGCTTTACTTTCTAATCAGGGATTTTATGCAGATTATTTAGCACTACTGCAGAAAAGCCTGTCTGAATACTCACCTCTCTACTTAGGATTAGTAACATAAAGCAAATATGAAAGAAAAAAGATGGTTCCTGTTCCAAGCAACGTTTGCCGTTCCACTTAAAATGACAATGGCGGGTTCTCATATGTTTGTGTGTGCATGTCTGTGCGTTTCTGTGACTAGTGCTTGGGAAGCAGAGTATTAGTTCTCCAATAGCCCTTGGCAAGCACTAGGATCCATTGGGACAGCAGACGCTCTGCTCTGCAAAAAAACCCAAACCCCAGGAAGCACCAGGCCCCACAAAATGACTGATCTTGCCAATTGCAATGTGTACAATGGAGAAAGTGCCCGACTTCTACTCAAAGGCCTGGTGATGGCTCCATGATTTGATCTACAGTCTGTCTAAATTTTGCTTTTATGTAGCTTCCATCAGCTTCTTGTGAGGCACTGAAAACACTTACAAATGTAACGAACAAAAATCTAAATGTTCACAGACAGAAAATCTGAAAACTGTTGCAGGTATCCCAGGTTTTATGAAACTTGTCCAAGCCACAGGCACATTATCAGATAACCTGCAAGGCTCTTCTCACATGAAAGATTAGAAAAGATCAGCTATAATAGAGAAAGGATGGTTTTATGACTAACACAACAAATAAAGACATTCAAACCTAGCATCAATTCTCTCTTCTGCCCCTGATTTTCTCTGTGACCCCAAGCACCCGTGAAACAGTAAAGTTTCAGCCACTACAACTACCAGAGGTTTGCTGAAGCCAATATAACCAACAGTTTGTAGCAAAGATGTGCCCCGCTATCATTCCTTTCTGTCTCAGGGTCCTCTTTTATGTTTAGGAAGCAAGGGCATAAACTATTTATACTGCTACACTGGGAGGGCTCCTGTATAACTACAAAATAAACTTCTGAGGAAACTCAAAATTAATTAGCATGAAGATGCAGTTCTAACCCAGACTGCTGTGGCCTTGCAGCCACAGAAAATGATCTGCAGCTGACCCACAAAATTGCAAAGAGCACCCAAGTTCCATTGAGTGACTGTGCTGTCAAAAAAACTTCAACATGAAGTGCTGCCGGACAGCAGTCCACAAGAACTGCTCTAACCTGGTAGTAGACTAACTGGCCCTGAAATTTTGGAACCCACTGCACAAGGTTATAAAAACCACCAAGCGCTACTGTTCCCAAGGATCCAATTTCTGCTATGATAGCTGAAAAATAACTCTTTTCCCTCTCAACACCCAAAGGAGAGCTACTGAATAGGTGTAAGTCTCCCCTCCATATTTCTCCCTCCCTCCCAAACAATCATCTTTCCTGTTCTGCCCTTCCGCCCCAGGGAGCATGAGCAGCTACAACAGGAAGGGCTGCCAGGAAGAAGAGTATGGCGATCGGGAGAATAAGGGCAAATCTGCAGAGGAATGCCCTTGTTTTTGAGCTATTCTCAGATTTTATGTTTCAGACAATGAAACTGGGCCAAGGTAATTGCCTGCAATGTTTTTTTCCTAGGCTAGCAAGAAAGCCCTGCAATTTTCAGTAACTTTCAAATCTCTTCCACTAGTTCTGCTTTTATAAATTCTAATTCATGACATGAATTGATATTCCAAATCTTTCACAGACTAGCAATAAGGAAGAATAATATAAGAATCCTTAAAGACCCCATGAACTTGGAGGCTGTTGGTGCTGCATTTCTTTTTTCTGTATATATTTTGTAAAGGAATTTTTCTGTTGTTACAAAACGCAGGAAGCATGTAGTATATTATTCAGTTTCACAGACTGGCACATTTGATTAAATTAAATTGATCTACAAATACTTTAAGAACTATTCACTCCATCCTATAGCTAAATTTATACTGTATTAAATCAAACTAATATTCAGATACTTAAGATCCCTAATGAGTTTGCTGGGGCCTAAAACCATTCCGTGTACAAAATAAATGTATAAATACAGTT